ATGTCCCTATAGTGGTTCAATTAAAAGGAGTTTTTAATGCAGGAATTGTTCTCACTGAATCAACCCAAGAAGGGGAATTCCCTTCTTCTATCATCATGAAGCTTCATTATTTGATTCATTTTGAATCTCTTGTTTTAGGTCTTTAGATCTTTGAAATGTTTGTTTTGTAAGTATAGTACTGATTACAGGACCTTACTGTTGTTCGTCCGGGAAATTCAAAGGTAGTTCTTATAACTTTAAATTGCAAAGATATTCATACAAACTTGAAGTGCCGTATTCTAGCTATGGAGATGACGAGAAATCTTGCTATTTTCTCCAAAAAAAAGAATTGAATTATTATTTACGAATGAATTGGGAAGCAGTTAAGAACTATTTGCGGTTCCAATATTACAATGCAAAGCGGTCAACGTAATCAGAATAACAGTGGCCAACTAAACACACTGCAGATAAGATCATAGGAGCTTCAGACAGCAAAATTGATCACATCTCCAATGTATCTTATTGATCGTTCTTAAAGACTGCGTTTCCAAAATGTCATACCTCATTCGAGATTAGTGGAGTTGTTACCCACGTGCTGTGTTACCTGTGAAGGGAGGAGACGCTTGGTTGAGCAAACGTGTAAATCTTGTTCACGTGTACACGGGTGTAGACGTCTAGTAGACACGGAAAAATTATGTAAGAAGCCATTTTACGTAAAAATTTGACAATTTGACGATGAAATGAGTACAATTTAAAATGACTTCAAATTAGTATATTTGGCACAATGGGTGTGCTGTGGAGTTGTGTGCCAATTTCGGTAGTGCGTATAGTTTAGCATAATATAATAGGTGGCATTACCTGTACAATAAAGAATCGATGTGGTTATCACAACAAACACAGCAGGTACCCTTTCTAACCTGACCCCATTTAGACCCGTCCTCTGAAGTCTCTGCTATCCCTGTGTATGCACGTGCATTAATAAAACCAATTACAGCAAACAATATAGGATAGAGCACTAACAGAAAATGCAAAGTAATCAAGGGATGGCAGCAGATTTTTGCTTTTTCTAGGGCATTTAATGGGGGGGAGTCATTGAAAGGTGAGTAAAACACCAGAAATGCCTATATAAGCTAAGGATGAAGGCAAAAACACTTGTAGGGATTGAATCAGTTTATAGCATCAAGATTACAGACCTTGTCCACCGCCTGAACGATTAAGAGCGGCTGAGACTTCCTGTCGGACTGACCGTTGCAACTCTAGCTGCATGTCCATGCAAGCTTCTAACATCCTTTGCATGTGGTTCATACCTTGCTGAAGTTTTGCAACGTCTGCTCTCAGATCATTAATCATCTCCCACTCCTGACCATAATTAGGAAGCAAGGATTCAATTCAAATGTGAAAGTGCATAATCATAGTCTCATCAACAGTTCTGCAAATAATGAGATGGTTAGTGTCTTCAGAGAATTTGGACGATCCATTAAGACTTTGAACTGAACCTCAGGGTCTGCTTATATTGAAGACTAAAAGTAGTCAGATTACAAGTCTTAGTCTTCAACAATCACATGAATTCCAAAGCTGGAAGAATCACAACTTAGCACAATGTAAAAGGACAGTCACACTAATCAACCTCACTATTGTATGGCTCAAGTCCTCGAGCAGATTTTTCAACCAACTGAGATTAAGCAAAATGGGATTTTAGTTATAGACCACAGATATTGAGTGCAAGCACCAAGAAAGCTAAGTAGCTTCTGGACAATTTGTAGCCAAGTTCACAAGAGATTATGAATGACGAATGTCATTGCCTAAATTCATTGATCCAATTTTAGAATGATACCAAACATCTTGAGAAGATTATTTTACTAATTACAGACCAAAGATCTTCCCTTATGTACCGCAAGAGAATACATATTCCTCAACATTTTATTTTTTTTAATAACCGTGGGTGTTCGGGCCAGCTTGTTCGCACCTCGACTAATCTCACAAAACCCTGAAGTTTACGGTCGGGTACTCACATCAGTGGCCCTTAGGGGACTCGAACTGGTGACCATTGGGGAGCAAACCCAAGGCCTGACCAATTGAACAACCCCTCAAAGTTACATATTCCTCAACATTTGGATGTTGGATAATTCCTATATCATCGAAACAAAACTTTCAAGGACCATAACCTAATCAGGCCTCAACCGTTTGGCCACTCTCACATAAATAACCATGACATCCAAAGTCTTAACCCAACAAAGAACAACTATCAAATATATAATGTCCTTGATGTCTTGAGGAAAGGACATAACATGTCATTTTCAAATCAATGCAACAACTTACGCGCTTCACGTCTGAAAATAGTGATGACAGGAAAAAATCAACTCACGAGTTCAGAACGATGGTGACGAGACCAACTGGAGTGATGCAAATGTTGATGCCAAAGGGGTTGAGATGGTGGTACTGGAGGGGATGGTAATACCAATGAAGGTCTACCAATATCATCATGCTGATCCTCATTCTGCTCATCATTATGTTGGTCCTGATCCCTCTCTGGGGATGCTTGAAGAGGCAAGTTCCTGTGCAGATCCCAATCAATAGGAGACCTGCCTTGCCTTTCTACATATTGTTGAATCAACTGATCTAGGCTCTCACGGAAACCACTACGAAGAAGATTAGAGACGCTCCTCCTACAACGAAAAAGATTAGTAAATTGAAGATAATCCCAAAAAAACAAAAATATGAAGCGTGGGCACATAATAGTCAGAAAATAACCTGCTAAGCAGCTCCCTGAGTTCCATGCTGTATACATTATCATCATCAGGGGGGTGGAACCTGGTGCCCCTTCTATGTGGTAGAGTGTCCAGCATTCTTGGAGGATCTGAAGGCCCTTCTGACCAATTATCTATAGCTTCTCGAGAGCCATTATCACGTCTATCGTCGTGGACTTCTTCCAGCTGACTTTGACCTCCACCTTCATTTATTGATGCTTCCAAATTCCAATTAGGTACAGGATTTTCCTGCCAGATCCTATCAGTGTCTCGCAAAGTGATATCTCTCCATCCATTAGACTCATTATAGGTTGATTCTTGCACATTCTCTCTCTCGTCTTCGGCAACATGTTGCTGCCAATCGCTTCCTTGATCTGCAGCAGCTTGTTGATTTGTACTTTGAACAGCTGTATTGCTATCCACATTTGCAATACGATCCGGCAGTTGGTTAACGTCACTTTCGTGATGTCTAGATTGAGATTGATCATGATTCTCATGTTGAACTTCCTGTGAAGAATTTGTATCAGGCTGATCATTTCTAGAGTCACTGATGTTGTTAGATGAGGTATCAGGATAACTGCTTACTTGGCCACGAACAATATTTTCCAATCTGGAGCGAAACCCTTCCCTGAATGAAATATGTGATTATTCAATCAAATAAAAATCATAAAAAAATTTCCTCCAACATATTATATATAAAAATGACAGGACACATCGGATTACAGCGTTAAGTAAGCATCACAAACCTTCTTTATTAAAATAAATCATAAGGTGAACAATCACGACAAGCTCTCAAGTTGAAGAAAATTACATGTAAAATGCTTACACAGTACCAAAGAGGATATCCCTAGTAAAGCAGAGATAACTAGGGATGCAAGGCAATTTTGAAAGTGGAAAAGAAGAGGCCCATCAGTGGACTTTTATCAATCAATATCAGTTTTTACATGGAAACCAGTGCATGGTTGTCTTTAACTATTCAAAAACGTAACTATGTTACTATTATCGTTCAAAGTCTTACTATGTTATTATTATCATCAAGGCAGTACTGGCATCATATTTTTCACTTGTAATTGTGGGTTGTTTTAAGTTCATTGGCATCTCTTGTATATTAATGTCCAAAATAAGATAGAAAACTAAGACAAACATCATTGATACCACTTAACACTAAGACATTGGAAAGGTTTTTCGCCCAAAAATCTAGAATATAATATTCCATTCCATCCACTAGAACCGAACATGAGAACGAAAAAGCGCATAAAAACCAGAATTGGGCAAAAGAAGGTAAAAAAAGGGGAAGAACAAAAATTGAAAGAAGTGAGACGTATGGCTTGCATAGGCATCCATACCTCAGGCCAGAGACTGTTTGTCGCTGCCTTAATTGATTTAACTCACTAGCTGCCCTTGAAGGTGGTCGCTCCTCCTCATCTGTCCTTTCATTTCTTAAAAATCTGCTTCTAAGTAGAACCAGAATACCTGTAAACAACGTTATTCGAGCTCATTAAAACAATTTAAAATTCCACATAAAGCATACTAAATAATTAAGATATATAGATATAAACAGACAGAGAAAGAGACTTTTATCAAACAACAAATACACAAATCCTCAAAAAAGAACAAAATAATATCCAAGAAACAATTACATGTGATAGGTAGTCGTAGCCAGAAAAACAAGGATGAAAATCCCAATAAACAACTCAATAAAGGATATGTAAGGGGTCCAACTAATCCAAATTTTTTTATTTGTTACTTTTATTCCCACAATAAGGTTTTTTTTTTTTAAACGAAAAATCAGAAAAATGATCTAATCTATTGTGTTTATTGATTCTTTGTCGTTATGTGGTGGATATCTTACCGATAAAATAAAAGGCACAATTTTGAAATAATGACAAATAAAATTCTATTTGAAGTCAATATCTATTGAATCAAAATTGTCGGTTTTTTTTCTCTTGCATTAACTTTTTAATGCTATTTCAAATAACTTTCGGATAACAGATTTCACGATTTCTATCAGTGATGATGACTGACTTGTACTTGAAATTTCAAAAATTCATTAGGACCGTACTCATGTGTGATAATTGGAAAAGTTTGGGGATTTCACTGCAAATTTTGTTCTCTCAAATTTACTGTTTTGGTTCCCACAATGAGTGGTCCTTTTATTGGCTCTATAAATTCCCAACAAGGGTTAGATTCCCTGCCCACGTTAAGAGAAACAAAAAAATCTCTCTCAATCCATCTCTACCAAGCTTCAAACTTTCAATTTCAGTTTGTGCTAAAATGGCCATATGGGTTCTTTGTCACCTTCTTCTCTTCCTTGTATTAGAGCCCACAAATGCAAATTTAGAAGGTTAGATTGTATATTAAATCTGGGTTTTTTCCTTTTTTGCGATTTGCAGTTGTTTTGAAATGAATTTTGGTTAACAGGGGATGCTCTTTTTGCACTGAGGAGAGAAGTTCATGACCCGAATAATGTTTTACAAAGCTGGGATCCGACCCTTGTGGATCCATGTACTTGGTTTCATGTCACATGTGATTCTCAAAACCGTGTAACCAGACTGTAAGTAGACTAGACTACATTTTACATTATGAAACCCTGCTGGCTCCTTATAAATCTACAAGACAGACCTTATAGCAATTCTTTACGTAGAAAATTGATTCCATGAAGTCACGTAAATGTGAAATATAACAACCCTAATTGCGTTGTACGTCTCTATGTTTCGCAGTGACCTTGGAAATGCAAAGCTATCTGGTAAGTTAGTTCCTGATTTGGGGAAGCTAGAGCGTCTTCAATATCTGTGAGTAAAAATTCTTTACATACTTGTGCAACTAATTATAAAATAATTAATGTACTTAGATATGTTTGGGATGATTTGTACAGGGAATTATACATGAACAATTTGGTGGGTCCAATACCTGCTGAACTAGGAAATTTGAAGAGTCTTATAAGCCTGGATCTTTATCATAATAACCTAACTGGATCCATCCCTCCATCTTTATCCAACCTCTCCAACCTCAGATTCTTGTAAGCATTGCAGTACTTGACAAGATTCCATTTTAACTCTTTTTTTCCTTTACTACTGTCTAGTACTTACTTGTAGACAATCCTTCTATCCTTTTTTAGGCGTCTGAATAGAAACAGGCTGACTGGAAGAATACCAAGGAAACTTACCAAGCTTGGAAACCTGAAGATTCTGTAAGTACTCAATTCAAAATTAAGCCAAGAAGCATAATTAGTTCTTTGGTAAGTTGAAAAATAAATTAATAATTAATCTGTTGTCCACGTGCAGAGATGTGTCCAACAATGATTTGTGTGGTACAATTCCATCAACTGGATCATTCTCTAAGTTCACTGAGGACAGGTAATCGAACACCCAAGTACATGTTTGGTTGGTGATTATTCTATAATTACTTATGATTTAATATACTTTTTATTTATACATTTTGTACTATTCACAACTATATTTCGTAAGACCTACAATTTACAATCATTTTAAATTATAATTAATGACTAAACATAACTCTCCAACATTGTGTATTAAACATGTTCCGGCTTCGACGTTGTTCACGTAACAAGTGAGTGTTTATTTCTTGTCTGATTGCAGTTTTAAGAATAACTCAAGATTAGAAGGGCCTGAGCTGATGGGGTTCGTGAGATACGATGTTGGAGACTGCAACTGAAGCTGCATGCCGGTAGTGAATCTAGTGAGGGATTTGGGTCTTACGAATTTGGTGAACCATTTTCTATTTTCCCAGTGATATGTACTGTCGATGTGCAATCTAAAAAGAAAGTAGTTCAATATTTTGTTGATGCACGTAGTATACTGTAAGTGTTGTGAAACAAACAAAATATCAAAATCGCTCTAATACCAATTGTTGGGAATTCAAGAATCACGTATCACTCAATACTATTTGATATGAAATCAACCACCAGACTAAATTGTTGAAGTTATATGGCAAATAATGAAATATTAAATCAAGCAAAAAAAGACAAAAAAATATAACAGAGGAATTAAGAGATTTTATTACAACAATAATAAAGAAAAATATACAATTGATCATAAAGTTCTAGTAATCTCTTTTATCACATTTTTCTCACACAATAAAATTGTATAGAGGAATCTAATATTTATAGGGAATATGTAGTGGATATGCAAACCCTCCTAGTAAAGTTATTGATAAAATATAACAAAAAAATCTAGTCCAAAACAAATTACAACTTTCAATGGGCTTTCAAAATAGAACTTCAACTTGACATATGACTCCAATGGTATTCCAACTGAATTTTTCTTGACGTGCACTTCAATTAGAATTGTTTGATTACTTTAACAAGGAATTCGAGTCACCCAAATTCTAACAATAAGTTTGGTATTGCAAGGTGGAGAAGATATATTAAACTCAAATGCACCATTATGCAAATACAAAGCATGTAAAATAATCAATCGGCATTATCAAACCATAAAGAGAGAGCATAGTACAGGCCAAATTAACCAGTGATGTCAACTGTCTTAACCTCAGGCTTCTTAACTTCTTTCTTAGACAGTCACAGTAAGGCGTAAGCCCACCATTCTCCAGGCTGGCCTTAACCTGATCGGTCTTGGCATCATCCAGAAGCCTAAACCGGCACATCTCTCCACTTATCTGAAGCACTTGGCCAACCTTAACCTCTTACTTCTTCATAGCCTTTGGACTTACCTTCCAGTCTATACGAGCAATTCTTGTGTGATGAAATTCCATTCTATCTGTAGTAGATGAAATTTTCTACTAATTGGGAAGGCTACGTGGACCTTCATTTACACGAATTTCTCTAAGCCAATTATGTCCATTACAATTTGATTGTCATAAATTAATTACAATTGTTATCTAGGGTTTTATATCATGGAAATGCTCTGTAACTCCATCATTACATGACGATAAGCACTGGATTATTTTTAACTTTAATCAATAAACTCCATTACATCAGGTTAGATAGCATTATTCAAACCCGCAAAAAAAAAGTCCCTAGTACAGTGGACGCATTTGCATTTTGCCCCTACTGGCTACTGTTGCTGGAGCTTTTGCTGAGGATTAGGGACTTCATCTTCGATGGTCAGGATTTTCAACTTTTGAGCATTTTTATTGGCCCTGTTTTGAGATAGTACCTTGTGGTCTTTTTCTGGATTGTCTTTGATATAGCTGGTGGCCTTAATTTGTTAGCATTTTGACGAATGACTTGGTACAAGTTTATTGAATAATTTATCATTCCTACCTTCTTGCCATTGTTGAGCTTTCTCCTGCAAAAAAACTTAAAATTGACGAATGAAGCAAAATCTATGTTACATGTAAGCCAATTAAATTCCCTTTAACGAACCTTCTTCTTCTTCCCATTCATTGTTGGTATATATAAGAGGAAGTATTTCAATCGCACACAGCGTGGCACCGTCAGCCGGCTGCTGATTTTGCCACGCCGATGGAGCCACACTGTGTGCGCCTGAAACGCCTCCTCTTGCACCCTGGCCTCGTTCTGAGTTTTCACATTGTCACAACTGCTTTATATTTAAGAGAAACAAATAGAGAGAAGCTAGCGTTATCCAAGAAAAATCTGAGTATCACGCATTTATATGGGTATCGTTTACGATAAGCATGGCTATTGGAATGCAGGATATAATTAATAAATAGTGAATTCCAGAAGGTCACCACGTTAAAATCTTGAAAGATACAGCAGAAATGCCGAATAAGCCAAAAAACAAATGGCGGTGAAATTCGTATAAACGAGACACGTTAAAAGACACTGGATCATGGCAAAGGACAACTGGCTCATCTAAAGAAAACTAGACCTTTTTTCAGATAATATTAGGTTGTTGGCCGTCACTGCCTCTGCAATGGTTGTTGGTTTGTGGTTAACATTAAAGACCGTACAAATTTCATATTTGTTTGAATATTTTGAAAATGAGAACGAGATTTAAATGATAATGTCCATATCCATTTTGTAACGGTTTAATTTCAAATGAAATAGTTAAAACGATATCACAATTAAACAAAAGTTTACTCAACTTTCTTGAACTTGCAACAATGAATCCCATATACTTTGCCGAGAAACCACCACTTGAGTCTCCATTTATGAAATCGTAGTGTGAATCCAGTATTGCAGTCATGTTCCCAACATTCTATTCGTGGTACTTATATCCTCGACATTTTAACACTGTATGTAGATCGTCTTCACTTGATAGAAACGTCTATTTAGTCACCAAGTGACCGCATGACATGTAATATGTGACTGAAAATGTAAAATTATTTTTAACAAAGCAACATTTAGCAAGTTTAAACAATCACCATTTGGTATTTGGAATGAAGTAAATCTTTTTAAAACAATTTTATTTTTCAGTACATTACATCCATCTCGCATGAAAATTTAAAGTTTAAATACATTTTTCGTTGGAGTGGAAAAAACACCCACAATGTTTAAAGGTTAGAGACATGAGTTCACAAATGAAAAGTTGATAATAGAGCTCCAGCAATTATAAATGTGTTTGATGCACATTAAAATGGAAAGAATGCATTTTTTTTGTGATGCGATGATGAATATGTGGTTGAAAAAGAATAAAAAGTTATTGATGTAATAGAAAATATTATTTTATTGAATAATGTGTAGTGAAAAATGAGTAAAAGAATTAGAATGAAAATAATTATGTGCCTCAAACAGGGACGAAATCCTGAATTTAGGGTAAATAGCATATAACGTCCTCACCTTTTACCGTTATTATGGAAAACGTCATTACCTTTCATTTTTCGACATTTTCACCCTTATTTCCACATTTCATTACACAAAAGACTTTTTTCATCAATTTTTTCAATTAAAAATTGTGAAATGACGAATATATCATTCTTTTTAAAGAAAAAAAGAAAATTAATTGCAACCATAATCCCAATTTTTTTTAAAAAGCATCCCTAAACAAATTATTAAAAAGGTAATCAGCACATAATGTCCCTAAATTTCATTATTATAGCGGAAAATATCCCTACCTTTTTTTTTTTTTTTTACATTTTCACCTTTAATTATACCTTTGATTGCGCAAATCGTCATTACTATTCATTTTCATCCAATTCTTAATAAAAAGTTGTGAAATGATGAATATACTCTCCTATTTTTTTTAAAAAAATTAAAGAATTTTTTTAATTTCTAATTTTTTTTAATAATTTATTTGGGATTTATTTGCCTTTTTTAATTTTTAAAATTTTTTTAATAAATTTAATTGGGACTCGTTTGCACTTTCTAAAAAAAAAAATTCTAAATTTTTTAAAATAACTTATTTAGGGCTCGTTTGCACTTTTAAAAAAAAAAAATTAATTTTCAACTTTTTCATAATTTATTTGGGACTCGTATGCACTTTTTTAAAAAATTGGAACTATAGTTGCAATTAATTTTTTAGCTTTTTTATTTTAATAGGAGGGTATATTCATCATTTTACAACTTTTTATTGAGAAATTGAATGAAAATGGATAGAAATGATGGTTTGCGCAATCAAATGTGTATTTAACGGTGAAAATATGAAAAAGAAAGAAAAATATGGACGTTTTCGCAATAATAGTAAAAGGTATGGACATTATGTGCTAATTACTTTTTTAATAATTTATGTGGAATTCGTTTGCACTTTTTAATTTTTTAAATTTTTTTAATAAATTTAATTAGGACTCGTTTGCACATTTTTTTAAAAATAATTTAATTCTAATTTTTTAAATAATTTATTTAGAACTCGTTTGCACTTTTTTTTAAAAAAAATTTAATTTTCAATTTTTTTTATAATTTATTTGGGACTCGTATGATTTTTTTAAAAAATTGGAATTATAGTTGCAATTAATTCTTTAACTTTTTTATTTTAATAGGAGGGTATATTCATCATTTCAAAATTCTTTATTGAAAAATTGAATGAAAATTGATAGAAATGATAGTTTGCGCAATCAAATGTGTATTTAATTGTGAAAATGTCAAAAAGAAAGAAAAATATGGACGTTTTACAATAATAGTTAAAGGTATGGACATTATGTGCTAATTACCCTTTTAATAATTTATTTGGACTCATTTACGCTTTTTTAAAATAACATTAGGATTATAGTTGCAATTAATTTTTTTCTTTTTCGTTTTATTTTATTTAAAGATAAGATTATATTCGTCATTTCACAATTTTTAGTTGAGAAAATAGACGAAAAAGACGTTTTGCACAAAAAAAAATGTGGAAATAAGGATGAAAATACCAAAAAATGAAAGGTATTGACGTTTTCCACAATAATAATGAAAGATGGGGGACGTTATGTGCTAATTAACCATTTATTTGCCCTAAAACTTTTCTACAATAAGATCATCTTAATAAATTTATGTTTGATCGCCCGAATGCGCCCAAATAAACGAGGGACCATGCTAGACGAACCGCGTGGATGACCTCGGGGTTGATCGCGCACACACACATGGGGGGTTGGGATTATTTTATTCATGTGGGACCCTCATCTCGATTGTGAGGGTGTGGTTATCCCTGCGGTCATCCATGCGGGTCGTTTA